CATCCATTTATCCATTCATCCATCCATCATCCATCCATCCATCCATCATCCATCCATCTATCTAGCCATCATCCATTTATCCATCAACCATCATCATCCATCCACCCATCCATCATCCAGCCATCATCCACCATCCATCCATTTATTCATCAATCCTCCATCCATCCATCATCCATTTATCATCCACCCATCCATATTCATCCAGCCATCATCCATCCATCATCTATCCATCCATCCTTTATCTTTACTCACTTCTTCCTTTTCGAGTCATGGGTGTCACTGGTGCCCATATCCAGAAATCATTGAGTGAGAGGCAGGGTAAACCCTGGAAATATCTCCAGTCCATCACAGGGACCCCTGGACTGGTCTCCAGTCCATCACAGGGACCCCTGGACTGGTCTCCAGTCCATCACAGGGACACCTGGACAGGTCTTCAGTCCATCACAGGGACACATAGAGACAAACAACCATTCACTCTCTCACTCACACCTAGGGACATTTTAGAGTTACCAATCAGCCTAACATGCATGTTTTTGGTCTGTGGGAGGAAACTGGAGTACCTGGAAAAAACGCACACATGCACGGAGAGAACATGCAAACTCCTCCCAGAAAGGCCCCCTGCCAGGATTTGATCCAGCGACGTTCTTGCTAAGGCAACAGATCTACCAACTGATCCGTGTTCCACCTAGAAAACGTTTTACACAGATTCTTACAATATTGCCTAAGGTGACAGTTTGTGATGAGAATGACCATAGTCTCCTTGAACCTGAACTTTGAATTTGTCGCAGTATAATAGTTATGAAATAAATGTTTTTTCTTTAATTTATGTTTTGTATAAGAAAACATACATATATGGTTATTTTCAACAATCAAGTAGTGTTTTGTTGCAATTTAGGTTTGGTTTATGAGCCACTTATAATTGTGCGTAAAATGAAAACTCTTGTTTTTCCATATATGGACAACAAATGAGCTAAAATTTGGTGTGTTGGTAACCGAGACTCATTCTGAGAACTCTGAGTTAGATATTTGTATAAAACATTTGGGTTTGCAAGGAAGTTTTTATGATTTAAGATGATTTTTACACTCGGATATAAAAATATTTATTAAGTAATCTAATATCCTTTCACCACAATGGGATATTATGTCTTTCCTGTAAATGCCAT